GCGAAATTTTACTTTTATTCGCTAGTACATAGGTCGAGATTTTCCATGTTTCCATAAAATAATATATTTTAATATTTTAATACCCATATAATAATCTTTATAAAATAATAAAATATATTATGAATAATTATTATCTCGGTCATTCACATATAGTTTCAAAATTACAAATTGAATTTCAATGAATAGTAGAATTCATTTTTGATTAATTTATATTCCGAGGTTGTTCGTTTTGCAATCTCTGAAATATGCTGAATGAAAAAAATTACGCGCTACAAAAATCTAGCATGTCGTGTCATTTGTATAGCGCACTCTGCTTTGGCTGGATGGTCAATTTACTAGATTTAAGATCGTCGTCATCATTAAGCTTATCTCCCTTATCAAAAATGAACTTTACTCAAGTGAATACGATCCTCTTATGTATTGAAAATGATAAATACCAACAAATCAACAATATCTTCATCGTTATTACCAATAACAACAACAACAACAACAAAAACCTTCTACAACAGAACCAACAGTTAAAATATTGCATCATACTCTAACACAATTTTCACACACGCGCACACACATACACACACACACGCACAGACACGCACACACATTTATATCGCCGCCAAGAAATACTCTAGACACTAATTAACGATACGAAATCCCATTTTATTAACTGAATGTGGAAGAAAACCCAGACGGCCAGACGTTTTTTTAGTGGGTCACAAAAGTACGATTTTACCTATTCATTTTCAGTGATGTACCTATTTATTTTCAGTGATTTACCTATTTATTTTCAGTGATGTACCTATTTATTTTCAGTGATGTACCTATTCATTTTCAGTGATGTACCTATTTATTTTCAGTGATGTACCTATTTGTTACTACGGATACTACCTATTTGCTAGTGATGTACCTAATTATTCGCCCAATAAAATCGTCCTACTAACGCTATAATGGAGTTATACCAAATGTCGTTGAGTTTTATTATGAAAATATAAATACATAACACACGCACATATATGCGTACTACATGCACACATATGCGTACATTTATGGGGCGCGCAATTTTCATTGACCATTGAATCGCATTTAATTTGCTTACCTAGTGGAGAACTCACCTACATGTAGATGCAAACACACATTCGTAGAAAAATATAACTCCATATCTACTTTAAACTACATACATCTATACATAAATGCATGTATGCATACATACCGACATACATACATACAGTGTCACTCATCATGTTTTGGTTTTAACATATATACATACATACATACATACATACATACATACATACATACATACATACATACATACATACATACATACATACATACATACATACATACATACATACATACATACATACATACATACTTTTTTTTTTGTATGTTGGTCTCGCACAGACTGGTTAGTTTTTGACGCATTCCAGTCCATCTTCAACATAAAACTCGATCAAAAAAATTGGTTGCAGGGGACGCTGCCTATATGTGTTGGTGGCCTGGGTTTGGGTTCCGCGGCTGAGCTGGCACCTTCTGCCTTTTTGGCTTCTGCTGCTGCCACGGTGGCCCTCCAGGATCTGATGTTGCCGAGGGATGGGATTTATGTCGATAACTTCAGAATGCAAGTATACGACATGTGGCGCGCCACCAACGGAGATGTGGTTGCGCTCGAAAACCCCTCGCAAAAACACTGGATCGCCCCCTGTCTTAATAGTTCAGTTGATCGATGGCTGCAACTGAATGGCTCTACTTTTGACAAGGCTAGAATTATGGCTGTCAAAAGTGAGTTGGGCTCCGCCTGGTTGAGAGCGCTACCCAACACCTCCTGCGGCACTAGATTGGATGACTCCTGTGTTCGCGTGAGCCTTGGTTTGAGACTCGGAGCCCAGATCGTCACCGAATACGAATGCGCATGTGGGGCAAGGGTTGATGAACTTGGATACCATAGCCTTTCTTGTCGTCTAGGTCCTGGAAGACAAGCCAAACATACGGCTGTCAACGAATACCTGGTACGATGTTTTCAAAAGGCTGGTATCCTGGTTATAAAAGAACCCATGGGTTTGATAGAGGAAGGAGCCTTTAGGCCTGATGGTTACACTATCACCCCATGGGCTCAGGGACGGTCCCTGGCTTGGGACGTTACCTTACCCCACACTATGGATGACCGATATATTGGCTACACTTCAGTTGAGGCGGGCACTGCTGCCCTTAAAGCGTCCGATTTCAAAAATGAAAAATATGTTTCATTAAACAATTTAAGCAAAATATTTCAACCCATTTGCATTGAAACGTTCGGACCAACAGATAAGCACACATCATTATTTATTAACGAATTAACAAAAAAAATAGTTAATATAACGGGTGATCCTAACGAAGGCAATTATTTAAAACAAACTCTTTCACTTTTATTACAAAAATTTAATTCCTTTTGCATTCTGGATGGAGCTGCTAGATACCTGACTGTGCGAGACCAGGGGCATAGATAAAAGTTGAACTCGGAAACGATTGCATGCCTAACCATGGCTTGTTCATCAAAACGGGTTCATACATACATACATACATACATACTTACATACATACATACATACATACATACATACATACATACATACATACATACATACATACATACATACATACATACATACATACATACATACATACATACATACATACATACATACATGCATACATACATACATACATACATACATAAAAATACATTCACACATAAACATAGAGATACGTGCACATACATACCTGCATTCATACTGACATAAACCCATAGAAATACGAGAAAAGAAAACAACAAACTACAAAAAACATGCACTCAAACAGACACACACACACACTCACACACACACATAAATACACACATTCACATACAGACGCACACACGTACGCGAAAACACACACACACATGAATTTTTAATTAAGACCTATATGGTGACTAGCAGTACTGTATATAAAACATAGAGAAACAGAAACAGAAAAAAAGAAAGAGAAAAAGAGAGACATAGAGGAAGAGAGAGAAAGGGGGTGCATTGTGTCGAAGGCATTGACGTCTTTTAAATTCATTTTGCCTTTGTTGGACCTTATTTTTTGAGGACTTTTAAATTCATTTTGTTGAAACTAGAGTTCCCCTCACATTTGGGCTTATTAGATTTCGTGTTGGTAAACTTGTTCTCTGTTTTTTATT